AGCATACTGGAGGAACAGGGCGTAAGTGGCTCACGGGCCCGATCTATGGACATTGATGAGTTTATGCGCCTGTTGTTGGCTTTCAATTCGGCTGGCATACATTTCAACTGAAGGGAGCTGCTTTAGAGCGTGGTTAATTGTAAAATATCTTTATACCTTGTTTAATAATTTTAATAAACTTTGTATGTGTGCATACATTAATAATCGTATACAAATTATCTTATTGGGATCTTAGGCTCAATGCATTGTAACGGCATTATGGTTCGTAACACAACAGTTCCGAGAGAGCCCGAGAGAATCATGTTAATATTTTTGCTCGCCAGCGTATCATTCAGCGAGTTGATCAATTAATGCGACTCGTATTGATCAGTCGCTCTCGAATCTTGTTTAAATAAAGTTCAAAGTATCGCAAAACAACTGATGCTGATATTATAATGGCGCTGATTAAAGCTGCTTGTGTGTTGCTTATTATTGTGGTGCAGGTGTCTTTCGCACTCGGTCAAGATCCGGATCCAGCACTAAAGCAGTGTAATTATTGTTATCTGATATCTTTGTATAAACTAAGCACCACTTGATATCTGCAGCTTGCACGCAGTTGAAGCGCGACATCTTCGAAGAGCGAGTGCCGTTCAGTTTCTTATTCGCAAATGCGCCTGTTCAATGGGAGACTATTGATTCCTGTCATGGCTCTCGGCCGCTAATAGTCGGCGGAACACCTGCTGAACCCAAGGAATTCCCGCACATGGCTCGTTTGGGCAATCGCGACAGTAGCAATAAAACCAACTGGCTCTGCGGCGGCACTTTGATAAGCCAGCGCTTGGTGCTTACTGCAGCCCATTGTCTCTACTCGCCAAGGTGTGTAATGAAAACTGATTTATTGGTACAAATTTTGTTATAATCTTTTTTGTTTTGTTTTTGTAGTGGTGCAGTCAATGTTGTGCGCTTGGGTGAATTGGACTTTGCCAGCGACAAGGATGATGCACAGCCCGAGGACTTTGGTGTGCAAAAGATAATCGAGCATCCGGGCTACAATTATACGATTCTTTATAATGATATCGCCCTGTTGCAACTAGATCGTGCTGTCAGTTTTAGCGTTTATAAACATCCCGCCTGCCTGCCCTTCCATGATGGCCAACGCAGCGAGAATTTCATTGCCATTGGTTGGGGCCACCAGCGGTTTGCCGCCAGCAAAGAGTCCACAAAGCTGCTGAAAGTGCAGCTTAGGAACTTTGGAAACAAATGCCTCACAACCACCAATCTAATAGAGCTGCCTAATGGGTACAATGTGAGCACAATGCTCTGCATTGGTTCCCCTGAGAATAAGGACACCTGCAACGGCGACTCCGGTGGTCCGGTGTTGAACTATCATGACGAGTACCCCTGTATGTACCATGTGATGGGCGTCACTTCAGTAGGCATTGGCTGCGACACAGGCAATGTGCCCAGCATCTACACGCGCGTGCACTTTTACTTAGATTGGATCAAGCAGGAGATGGCAAACAACAACTGAATATGAAGCATTCATCATTTTTTATTTGTATTTAATAAACTCGAACAGTACAGAACGGCATTATTTCAAGAATTATTGTGTAATTATTGGCTTATTAAGAAATTGGCTATTTGTTTCGCGAGAGTTGGTTTTGCATATTCTAAAAATAAAAAAAACAATGTACATACATATAAAAATATACATACGCTGTTTTACTGCGGGAAATCCCACTGCCTGTATGTACTATGCATGATCGAAAATATGGAAATAAATGAATATAAAGAACCAATCGCATGGCCACATACATACATACGTAAATATGCATAAACAACTATAAATGATTAATATTATTATATAGGCGACGCTAGAAACAAGATTCTCACCTTATCATCAAACTAGAGTGCGCTTTGTATATTTACATTTCCTGAAATCAAAACGCTCAAATCAGAAAAATGCTCTCCATATTCTCTACCCAGTTGAGCGTGCACCCAGTTTGGAGTCGGGTGTAATTAGCGGCTGAGCATTAAAAATGCAAATCAAGAACTATTTGAAAAGCGTTTTTCATTGGAAAGCGTTTGGGCTGTGGCTGCTGATTTTCAACTTGACCGAGCGATTGATATTTGCCCAAGATTCGGATATAGTCAGCTGTAAGCACGGCCACGAAGCATACATATGTACATATATATTTTGAATAATGTCTCTCTCTCTCTAAAACAGCCTGCACCCGGTACAAGAAGAGCGTCTACGATCTACGGGATAGCTACAGTTTTCTATTGCGTGACGCGCCTATCATTAATAAGACCTTGGACACGTGCCACAGTTACACGCCACTGATATCCGGTGGCCAAATTGCCGAGCCAAAGGAATTTCCGCATATGGCGCGCTTGGGTAATCGCAACAACGACAATAAAACCAGCTGGTTCTGTGGAGGCACTTTGATAAGCAATCGCCTGGTGCTCACTGCAGCTCACTGTCTCTACTCGCCAAGGTGCGTAATGAGCACTCATCAATTCATTGGCTATACCTAACTCCTATTGCAGCGGTGCGGTCAATGTAGTGCGCCTGGGAGAGCTGGACTTTGACAGCGACAAGGATGATGCACAGCCCGAAGACTTTGGCGTGCGCAACACGACGGAGCATCCGAACTACAAGTTCCCAATAATGTATAATGATATAGCGCTCATTGAATTGGATCGTGGAGTGCGTTTCAGCGTATATAAGCATCCCGCCTGCCTACCCTTCAGTGATGGCAATCGCTATAACAGCTTCATTGCCACCGGCTGGGGTCAGACCACATTTGCCGGCAAGGATTCCAGCAAATTGAGAAAGGCAAAGCTCGAAGGGTTTCATTTTAAATGTACAGAGATTGACGATATTGAGAACCTGCCCAATGGTTTCAATGCGAGCACACAGCTGTGCATTGGCTCCCCTGACACCAACGATACCTGCAACGGTGACTCTGGCGGGCCGGTGTTGACCTATCATGAGGAGTATCCGTGCATGCATCATGTCATGGGCATCACTTCAGTAGGCATTGGCTGCGGCACGCCCAACCTGCCGAGTCTATATACGCGCGTGCATACCTACTTGGATTGGATTAAGCAGAAGATTGAAAATATTTCTTGAGATTCGTGGAAACGAGTTAGCATAAGCTTAGCCGGGACTTCAACATTTCAATTAACAATTAAATTGAATCGATACTGGGAATAATTAAATTTGACCCTTCAGTGTTTACCTAACACTTAGCGGGTCAACATGGCGTATGCGCAAAAAAGTCTATCTAGCAATTGTTTTCTATAAAAGGCATCTGACATGCCGAGCAGCTGATTACTGATCACTGGTCAGCCCTATCCCAGCTCCAGCTGTGTGTGTGTGTGTGTGTGTGTGTGTGTATGTGTGTGCGGGTGTTAGGCAACTGTAAACCTGTCCAGAGAGCGCGCTTTTAGTCTGCTGCCAAGTTCGAGGCGTTTGTTGTCGGCAAACCGGTTGACAACGTGCCAATTGTCTGTTTGATAAACAAATTAAAATTGAAAATGTGTATATATGTGCTTCTTCTTGTACTGGGCCTGCAGCCATTTCATCAGATCTTGGCTCAAAACAACCAAATTGTCAGCTGTAAGTAGCATATACGATCACCATGATGTGTTTGTCCAAGCGCCTCTTGCATCGACAGCCTGCACCAGCTTGAAGAAGGCCGTCTTTGAGGAGCAGGTGGGCTACAGCTTTCTGTTTCCCAATGCGCCTATCATGTACGAGACAATCGATAATTGTCTCACATATACGCCACTGATTGTCGGCGGGCAGCCCGCCGATCCCAAGGAATTTCCCCATATGGCGCGCCTGGGACACCGCCATGAGCAGCTGGGCACGATTGATTGGTTTTGCGGCGGCACACTCATCAGTAATAAATTCGTGCTGACCGCCGCCCATTGCTTTGAGTCGGAACAGTAAGTAATTGTGGACACAGCGTGCGTGATTCTAATGGAATTCACTTTTCTCAGGGGGGAGGTAAATGTGGTTCGCTTGGGCGATCTGGATTTGGGAAATGATCAAGAGGATGCGTCCCCCAAGAACTACGCTGTGGCTGACTATTTTCGCCATCCAAAGTTTACGAGCTCGGACCTATACAATGATATTGGAATTATTAAACTGGCAGAACCTGTTAAATTTGATCGATACAAGCATCCTGCATGCCTGCCCTTCGAGAATGGCGAAAACTTGGACTCATTCATAGCCGTAGGTTGGGGCAGCACTAGCTTAGCTGGCAAATCATCGCCCAAACTGCTAAAAGTAAAATTGGATCGTATTGCAGATGAGGTATAATTAACTACCATGTGCTTGTATTGGAAATTATAACTTCCTGTATCCAGATATGTCGCAGAGTAATTGAACGAAGCGAGGACTATCCACACGGATTCGAGCCGGTTAGCCAAATGTGCGTGGGCTCTTCAAAGGCAATGGACACCTGTAATGGCGACTCAGGTGGACCAATTCTTGTGTACCACAAGGAGTATCCTTGTATGTACCACGTGATGGGTATTACATCGGCAGGCATATCCTGCGGTACACCTAAGATTCCCAGTATTTATACGCGTGTACATTACTATTTAGATTGGATTAGGCAAATTATGGCTCATAACTAGTAATAACTTAATGTAACTTATAAAAAGTAACATCTTTTCCGCGCTTTAAATTAGTCTGGTTCTTATTTTTAGCGATCTGGCAAGGCTATTCGTAGTGATGAACCAAACACAGATTCTTAAAAAACGCAGTGACCGCAATGTTCGGAAATTCATAATTTAAAACATTATTGTATAACATCATTATTTAAATATGTTTTTAATAAATATTAATTGCGTACTCAGTATTTATCACAGTTTAAGCACTGAATTTTTGGTACATGAAATTTAACCGCGTGACTCGCTACTATAGAGTACCAGTGACATGTATAGAAAAACACAAAATATCGCCCATCACTATTGTTGTTTACAAAAAAAAAAAAAAAAAAACACAACATTAATTACAATTGTGGAAAAATAACAAATATAACACGCGCCAAGAGGTCGATAAAACTACTACACATAAAATGTAACCGATATATATAACCGAGATAAAACTAATGTGCTGCTATCCAAAACAGCGCTGCAACTGCGCTGCGCGTTAATTCCTTTCCCTTTTTAACGTGCGTTTGCGACGCACATTCATACACATGTATGTAGAATTGAGTCCAAAATCTAATAGCTTTGGTATAAATATGGAGCCCGACAAGCTGCAGCCAGTAATGTCCGATCCGGTCCAGTCATATAAGACGCGAGCCAAAATGAATCCGGCTAAGAAAGATAATGAGAAACGGCGACGAAAGGATGCTATACGAAAGGTAATTAACGAACATGTGCGGGTGTATGTCTGTGTGTGTGTGCGTCGTTTGTGACTTGCATGTGATTATTTATAAATACTTACATAGTATGTATGTACGTACTATAAGAGCATGCATTATTGATTGGCACTAATATACATAAATACAATTGGTGCAGGTCTCGCAGATTTTACGCAAATGCGACTCGCTACGCACCGCCGAGGATCGACAATTTCTGGAAAAGCATCCGGATATCGTGAAAACGACAAAAAAGCGCAAGGAGCGCATTGAGATATACAAAGAGCGAGTTGTCGAGAAGGAAGACGAGCCGCACGTTATCGAGGCTAAGGTAGAGCAGCTGGCTAATATCATATCGCAAGCAAAGCATTTAATATGTTATACGGGTGCCGGCATCAGCACTGCGGCTCTAATTCCCGATTATCGTGGCAGCAAGGGAATCTGGACCCTGCTTCAGAAGGGCAAGGATATTGGCGAGCACGATCTGTCCAGCGCCAATCCCACCTATACGCATATGGCGCTCTATGAGCTGCATCGGCGCCGCCTGCTGCGGCACGTTGTCTCACAGAACTGCGATGGCTTGCACCTGCGCTCCGGCATGCCGCGACATTCACTCTCCGAAATACATGGTAACATGTATGTGGAGGTCTGCAAGCACTGCAAGCCGAATGCAGTCTACTGGCGCCAGTTCGACGTGACCGAGATGACGGCACGCTACTGCCATAAGACGCATCGGTTATGCCACAGGTGCTCGGAGCCGCTCTACGATACCATCGTGCACTTTGGTGAGCGAGGCAATGTGAAGTGGCCCCTGAACTGGGATGGGGCCACGCAGCATGCGGAGCGAGCGGATGTTATACTCTGTTTGGGCTCTAGTCTGAAAGTGCTTAAGAAATACACCTGGCTCTGGCAGATGGACAAACCGCAGCGGCAGCGCGCCAAGATTTGCGTGGTAAATCTGCAGTGGACGCCCAAGGATAATATAGCCAGCATCAAGATTAATGGCAAATGCGATAGCGTCATGGCGCAGCTGATGCGTCTGCTCAACATAACGGTGCCCGTCTACAGCAAGGAGAAGGATCCAATTTTTGCGCATGCCACGCTGCTAATGCCCGAGGAGCTGCATACACTAACACAGCCGTTATTAAAGAATGCCGACGAGGAGGAGGCGGGTGATACACAATCCTGCACGACGACAACCGAGGAGACGCAGGATTCTACCATTTCCGGCGATAGCTACAGCGATTTGCCCATTGGCCGTGGACCACGCATACGTACGCCTATCAAAAATGGTCGGCGCATCAAGACTAATTTGGAGATTCGGCAAAAGTATGTGCCAATGTCAAATGATAGCGCCGAGGAAGAAAAGCCGGAGCTTCAGCTGAAAACTGAAACGGAAACCGACTTCAAAGTGAAGACTGAAACGGAAACGTTGACGCTGTGCGAGCTGAAGCAGGAAACGAAAGCTGATGATGATCTGATTGATACTAGTCTGGAAATTACATGCATCAAGCAGGAGGTGGTCCCCAAGCTGGAGCCGCTGACGCCCAAGTCTGAACCGCCAAGTGAAGCCACAAATGGGCATCAGCATAAAAATGGTCTCATAGAGCTGCCGAAACTAGTCGCCATACAGAAATCCTATGCGGATGTAAATAGCTGCCCGGGTCTGTGCTTGTTGCCTGTGGAGTTGCGACTAGAGCCGCGCTTGGAATGTCTGGGCAGCTTGCCACCAGTGCAGCTGCCGCCGCTGGTGCCAATTGGTGCGCCGCTATACACGCCCTTCGTACAGCCCCAGATTCAGCCGCAGCTCGTGTTGCCTCCATCACTGCAGTCGCTAAACCTGCAAAGCGACAGCGCCACCTGCTCTGCAGAATCCACCACAGAAAACGACGACGACGGCTATGATGACGACAGAGATGTGGAGGAGGAAGAAGAACAGTTTGCCATGGCACAAATGGATTTGCTGCGAGGCCACAGCGATCACGAGTTGCTCCGTCAGCTGCCCAGCTGGTATGATGCCAAGTATGCGTATTCGGGCCTACACAGTATATTGATTCCGCCGCCTTCTGATCTCAACATTTGGAACTTGCAAGTGGTGCCGAACTTTGCGATGAATCGCTCCGCCGCCAGCTGTGAGTTCTGTTTTGATCGCTATGCCGAGCTCGAGTGCCAGTTCTATCGCCGTTGGCATCTTAGCCAGCGCAAGCATAAAAAAAGAGCGAGCAGCGGCCGCTTTGTCGTCTGCGAATGCTGTCCGACCAGCGACGATGACGATGACTACGATGAGAACATCTCACTGGCGCACATAGCTGCCGCCGAGACGGCCAAGCGTCGAATGCAGCTGAACCACAGTTTTCCACGCAAACTGGCCCGCACCCAGGCCGGCTGGTATGGCAAGGGCTATAAAAAGGGCCGCAAGCGCAGATAGATGCAGCCGCCAGTACACCCGATGTCGCTTCAATAGTATTTGAGCATAGTCTAGTAGTTATAGTAATAAGCATAGTATTATAAGTACATCGACATAAATATATTTATATATATACTTAGCTCGTAGTGCCACTCGCATTAGTTTAGTTTTAAGTATGTGCATCCACATAAAGCAAAGTATTTTGTTTGTCATTTAGTCGTGTAGTCCTTGGTCCAATTTAGTTTTAAGTGTCTCCAATTGCAGCTGCTGAAATCTATGTAAATTTTTCATTTTATTTCTATTTGAATTTTATTCAATTTGTGCATAGGTTTGGTTTTTTTCATACTCATTGTATTGTTGAGATCCTTTCATATTTTATTTTTGTGTGCATTTATATGAGAATTTTCTTTTAAATTTTTGTTGCTTTTCAGGTTTTTTGTATATTTATAATACGGCAACAATAAAATGCATAATATTAAGCAACAGAGTTAAGAACTTGTCTGCATTTTATTCCTAGTGTATGAGAGTCGGACAAATTTCACATTGTAATAACAGCTGAAACCGTTTCAGTGAAACGGGTGGAAAATATCTTTTGTGATTGGTTGAAAGGCTTTCAAACTGTAAATGTTACCGTACAACTGTTACTTGACTGCGTATTAATTTTTGGTTTGATCTTGTAGGATCACCAGTTCTAAGACCTTATGAAATATGGATTTTTATTGTAGTGTGCACGTAGGCATATTTAAAGTTTGGCATTTTCTTAGGGAAGCCACCAGAAATCCACCTGCTAGACCTTATGAAAATCGCAAGTAAAAACGATTTAAAATTTGAATTTTAGGCTAATCATTTAATATGACTATATTTATTTATTAATATTTTTATAAGGTATTAAAATGGACTTTTACCCCTTCCGACTATATATATATATATATATATATATATATATAGAGATATATTCTTAATTATTGCCTATAGCGTTTTTAAGGTTATGTTAATACAAATTGGCAAAGATCCGTCCGTTTACTGCAGGCAGTAAATATTTTGGAGTCTATATTATGGCTTCCTATCGGTGGAATATTGAGAAAAATTATGATAAAAACTCATATGAAATGTTTGTTTTTAAAAATACCTAGACATGATTGTGGTTTACGAGTCATTATCAACATAGAAATATAACAATATATAGCTGCCATAGAAACAAACATATCTATCTTCAAATTATAGCTATTAGAAGAAAAAACAGGCGAAAACGATGTCGTACATCCGACTTTTATCTCGTACATCTGCCATAAGTTTTATTCACATCCAAGATATCGGTGTCTCGTATTTATACTTAATTTATTTAAAATACAATTTATATGCTTTATAATTTCATTAACTTAAACATATAATATTGCTATTCTAGTTTTAGTTTTGCCTTCGTATGTTTCAGTGTCTTTGAAGGGATTCAACTTGTTCTCAAGTCAAACCCTACATGCCAATGGATGTGTGTAAGGTTGCGGGGCGTGTGTGAGCGTGAGTGTGTGATTGTGAGCGTTTGCCACACGTAACGAGACTTTACAAAATTACCTAAGCAATAACTCAAAATGCACAACATAAACAAAGACTACATACAAACGTAGAAAACAGCAAAAGGTTTTTTTCTGCTCTATAGATTAGCGTTAATTGTAATCGTTATCAGAGGGCGGCTACATACAGTATATATAATACCTAAGACGTTAAACAGAGCTGCCAATAGGCGAATATAAAAAATAATTACGCGTTTACACAAAACAAAAAACATACAAATAGGAGAAAAAACAATTTTTTCAATTTCGAAAACGCTGCCCAGGACGTAATGTCAACGTAACAAACTAGGATCCCATAAAAATGGGTGACTGAGATATATATATATATGTATATAGAGAGTGAGAGAGAGAGCGCGCGCTTAGAGCACGCAACCAATTAAGAAATGATGATCATACAAACAAAGTGTAGGGATAGGAGGCTGGCTGTGGCTGGGTTGTGGGTTAGGAGTGGGAATGGTTACTCGGCAAGGACGCAAAGGCCATCACAGTTAGGCCACATAAATAAACATGTTGATGTCATCGTCGTCGCGTCTCATATACTTGTGCTCAATGAGCCATTCAAGCTGCTCCTTAATCATCTTCTTAGATGGCAGGAACATGTTCTTCAGTATGTCAATCAGCTCCGCCTGTAAGCATATAAGACAGTTCAATAATTAAGTTTGACTTCCTTATAAATCTTAACACACCTGCAGCGCCGCATTGTTCATGCGTTTGCGCACCTTCATAATCTTTATTATTGCCTCCTGGGTGCGCAATATGCGCAGCTGCACAATGGACTGATTATCCTCCTGCTGCGAACGCTCCGTGCTCAATTGCAGCCGTCCAATTAGATTTAACTGCGGCCGTAAACATAAATGCTTTAGTAACATCTAGAGCAGATGGTTTCGATATATATAACATACCTTGCCGCGCCGTTGAGATTTGCCATTCTTCACAATGGCAAACTCCTGATTGATATAGAACATGGTGTTCTCGGCAAAATCTTTGGGCGAACTAATGGCTGCTGGCTCCATAAGCAAGATTTGTTTTTTGATCTTGGGAAATGCGACCAGCGACCATAAAGTGCGTCGCAGTTCGGGATCTGTTGAAAAATAAAATAATTAAGTTTAAATCGTTTCCCGCAGTATAGTTGAAATTCTTTACTAACCGGGCAGCTCGGTGGCTAAACGTAGATTCTCATATGAGATCTTGTCGTGCTGCCGCTGATTCCAGGCAAAGAGCACAGCCATTTGAAAGGTGGTCACATCGAGATCGTAGCGACCGAAATTGTTAACGAATGTGATGGTGCCATTGCTCATGTGATGATACCATTGCAGCTTACGGCCGGAATGCTTTTTCTTGTAAAACTCCTCAACATCGGGTATATAGTCCTCCAGTTCGATGGGCAGCGAAACTGAGACACGCTCCGAACAGCGCGCCCAGGCGCCAGCATTGAGTATTTTTATATTGATGGCATCATGACGGCTTATCGAGTTACGGAATTGAGTATTTAAATCCTCGCTCACCTGTTTTTGGTGCGGAAGCACGGAATAGGTATTTGTAATAAAACAGCTGCGCGTATTGTATATTGGTAGAAACTTACCTTAATGTCCTGGAACATGCGTGCTAGCCTGTTGACATAGTCTGCGGGCATGCCCACCTCGCGCAGCCATTCAACAATGTCCTCCTCCTTTTCACTATCAGCACTTGTGCCAAGGATTAAACTACAAACCAATAAATGCACGTAAAATAAGTTGTAATTCTGGATAAGACCTAGATTATAGGGAAAAGGTATTTCCCTCAGCACTTACCGTCTCGTCAAGTGCACCTTGTGGTACCTCATAAAGACATCCTTGTTGTTCACATACTTAAGGACGAGCAGCACATCCCGTAGACGTGCATCGATCTGCTCGCTGGTGAGGCGCTTGCTCAGAGGCGTGCGCCTGAGCAGCATGTCACAGTAGTTGGCCAGCAGCTCAGGGCATTTGCTTTCCGGTGCTGTGTATTTGACACCGCGATTCGCAATGCTTGTGGGCAGCTCCATTTTGAACACACTGGTGTCGTTGACCACCATTTTGAAGGCAATGTCGCGGGCAGTGAGAAAGCGCGGATCATCGTTGAACGCATTGCGAACCAGATCGCTAAACTTATTGAAGAGCTCCAACAGTCGTTCCACGTACTTTTCCGAGTCCTGAGTAATGATCTCCGAGGCGGACTGCATGTCAGCTAGGCCGGCGGACTTGATATGCCGCTGCAGATCGCCCATCATTGCCTCGACGCCCTCCCCGTCCAGCACGCGATCCATCAGGCGAAACATTAGATTTAAACGGTCCGTCTCGTAATCACGTATCAGCGCCGGGCACTCGGCTATGATCGAATTGAGGTGATCCACAATTAGCACCTTGACCAGACGGCATGTTAGTATGTTAAAGCTGCTAGGCTCCAGGTAACGCTTGGCGCGGACCTCCTCCTCGCGCAGCTTGGCGTCCGCGTATTTCATGTAGGCTAGCACGCCGTTCTCTTGCTGCTGCTCTGCGGATTTAAGCCGATAGAAGTCGGCGGTGGCCTTTAAATAGGCCTTCTCAAAATACTCCCGATAGATTTCCAACTTGTCCTCTGCATTCGAGGACAGATTAACATAGCTTTCACGCACCCCGACTACAAGTTGGGCATCGTAGGCGTCGCCATTGCGTTCGGCATGGACAATCTTCATGGCTGACTCTTGCAGGCGATCCTTGATGTCGTGAAAAATGTGCTTGTTCCACGAATCGAGCATTAGCTTGCGAACCGGACTGTCCTCTGTGGGACTCTTCTTGGAGCTTGAGGCAGCAGCTGTGGCGGAATTGCTAGCGGCGCCAACGCTGGTGGAAGCAGCACTAGAAGCCGCTGCCGATGTTGAGGCCTTTGCGGAGGAACTGCTTAAGGATGCTTGATTGCTGGTGGAGGCAGCGGCATTCGAGGTGGATGCGCCACCGCCAGCGGAGGTTGATGACGATGTGGAGCTGGAACTGGACGCAGGTTTTACCTGCGGCGACTGTTCCAACTGACGAAATGGCAGCGGCAGGTAATTGGACTGTGTGAAGAATTTACGCCATTCCACAATGTAGGTGGCCAATAGCGCCTGTTCGCCCCGTTGCGCCTGTACCTTGGACTGGGCCTGCACAATGAATTCGACAATGTCCTGCTGGAGGCCGTCATAGATTTTGGAGGCTCCCTTCTCGTCCCACAGGCACACGAAGTGCACGCCAAAGAAGAGATCCTGCCATTCGAGCTGCGATACCGTCTCCTGGCGCAGCAGCTTGAGAACAATTTTTCTTTTCTCTGGCCATACCTCGTCGAATATGTCCCTGTCCCGTTTGCCTATCGCCCGCAGCATGGTGTTTTGGTCGCAGTCCCTTTGTTCTTGGCTACGCTCAACTTCACCTTCTCCTTTAATTATGGAACCAAATCAAAAAAAAATGTTGTGATCAAAAGAAACGCTAATTCTCCGCCTATATGCGGCCGATAGTAATTTTCAACCGATTTGTTGTTGTGAGAGTGCGATAACAGTTGATAGCAGGAACTATAACATGACCATAACAGCGTACAGCTGTTATTGAACATAGTCGATTATTTGTTTGAATATTAGTTTTTCATGCAAGTATTGCTTTTCTTGTCAATAAAAATTGAGAGCTATATATTGTCCGCGACTATTGACGTCAGATAATCTGCATTTATCGAGCAATTTTTTGTTGTGACAGTGCAATAAATTATTTATCGAAAGGGCCAGTTGCAGTATGGTAACATGTCGTCAGTCTGGCAACGTAACATAGTGAATGTCAGATGGAGCAGCTGCAAAATGCTTGCACGCACACACAGATAAAAAGTGTATTTTAAGTGCCAAGTGCTGCACTGCGAGTGTGGAAAAGTGCGGGAAATTATTGCAGCGAGACTGTCAAAAATAGTGTTAAGACAAAATTTAAGAAAGCCTGCAATTGCTAATAACAAAGTGAAATGAAGAGTGTCAGCGGCAAAAAGATTCTATATAAGCAACAAAATATTGGTAGCATGTTTTGTGAATTTCGTAAATCTCTCGTTTCGTTTTGGTTTTTTTCTTCTATACCACAAAAAAGGGCGCGTGAGTGAGACGACAGTAGTTTGCAGCAAGGCAAGAAAATCTAGCCATCCCGCCTACTCGTATGCGACTCACACGTTGCAGACTTTAAGTCTGCTCGCTCTCAAATGTTTGACATTTTTCACATTCAGCATTTTCCCTTTGTTCGTCGGCGGGTCTCGTCATATGGCTCGTATAAACGCTCGTGCGTGCGTAACAAATAAAATTTAAAAAAATAAACGCAAAATATCGGTGTTTGAAATTTACAAAAATATTGCACATGTGTAAATAAACATCTATTAAATGCGCATGCAGTGACAAGTGTTTAAATTCATTGAGAAATATGCGTAAAAAGCGTTATTTCGTGATTACTACGGCGACGACGACGACGACGACATCAAAGCCAACAACAACGAGCTGCTGCGTTCATTGACGTGACGCGCGAGTGTGAGTGTGTGTGTGTATGTGAATATATGTGTTTATATGCGCTAGTGTATGCGGGTGTTGCGAGTTGTTTTCAAATAAATAAAATACATAACAAAAGTCAGCAGCAACAAGAACAACAACAATCAAAGCACCACATACCTAATTGCGAGTGCTTATGCCGCTGGCGCCCCAGCGTCAAACTGCGTACATATGTACATACATAAATAAAACAAAGCTATATATATATATATTTATTTACTTCAATTTAGTCCGCGTGTCTCGTTGCGCGCAAATTCTATGTGAAAAGAAAGTATGGTCAACAGTCAATGCAATCTATGCAGTAAAATGTGTATTTGTCTGTGTCTGTGTGTGTGCGTATGTGTTTTTAGTGTATAGAATTGAATAAGCAGTAGTATAAGCAAAGAAAGTTAAAAGCAATAGCAACGGCAAAGCAACAAGAAGAAGAGGAAGAAGAAGACAACGAGCAGCAACACAAATGAAGCAATACAATTCAGTTCAATTTTAAACATCAATTGTCTGTCCCGAAGCATTAAACAAGGCTCAAAAATTTTTGCCAATGAGTCGCAGACAGTCATTGGATCGACCAGGTGAGCATTAAAAAAATTCCCCTTACCTATTGTAATTAGCATTTCATTACAATTGCTCAGCATCAGCGGCCTGCATACGTGCACTTTGCGCGCACACTCTCGCTCTCACTCTTTTTCTCTCTGTATCGTTATCGACGTCTCTGTGGTATTGAAGAGCGCTCTCGTTGTGTTGCTCTCGCTGCTGCTGCTGCTAAAAATAAAGTGCTCTCGCTGCTCTGAAAATGCTGCGCGGCGCAGCTGCTTTGAGCTGTCAGTGTTGCTGTATATTATGCTATTGTTCTTGCTGTTGTAGCAAACAGCAGAGGCAGCAACAACTGTGAAAACAAGCAACAGCAACTAAACGCCAAAACTGTTGTGATGCAAAGCCAAAAGTACTTAACAACGGGGCAGAGAATCTATCTCTCTCCTTTCATTCTTTTTTGTTGTTTGTCTTAAGCCGTGGTGAATTTCTATGTCTACCTTTTGAGGTAACAAATTTTCCATTGAGAGACGCAAAATTTGATTGGAATGACGGCCAAATGGCGCTAATTTATGCCAGCCAAATGCAATTAAAGCGCTCGTTCGTTTTGGCAATACGATTTTATTTATATTTTTTAGCCATGCCTTTGTTTTGATGCGATTTATGTTAAGTAAAAACCCAAAAAGAGAAAGTGTCGCGAGCGTTGCAACATTTTGTAAATGTAAATGTGACCCAAAAGTATGAGAAAGCAGTGCGTAAAAAAGGTAAAGGCCAAGAGACGAAAACGGAAACACATAAAAAAAAATATATCTATATTTAAAATAAGCGTAAAAAACGCTCATGTTGCTACTATGATAAATTTGTATCTTTTTGTTGGCGAGTTTGCGTGGACATCCGTTTTCAAGGCGCTTTTTATTTGCTGTCTTTAATTTTCACTTCGCCTTCATTTGGCTGGTCTAAGGTCGCCACATTGGACTTAGCCGCGTGCCATTATTGCCACTTAGAGCTGCAATTAAGCTGAACAATGTAAACAATGAAAGGCAATTAAATCGCTGATATTAACATGCAAATAAAGTTCAATTTATGCAAAAACAACCTATCAAGTGTTGTCGTTTTTATTTTACTCTTTATTAATCATATTTGAATTGCGAAAATGTTTAATAATAAATTAATTTCATGACAATTTGATTTAATTTTCTAAATATTTTATACGTGAATATTAATAACTAAACCCTTACAAAAGGGTAGACATATAGTTCACAAACCTTACGAAGGTTATGAACTCGTAGCACAAATAACACAGAAAACACTAATCTGAATGCTTATTGCAAAAAGTAGCTTATTAAAACCATTTTGAGCTAATCAAAACCTATTATTATTAGTTACTTAACAGTCCATGCATTTGCAAGATATAAGGCAAGATTTCTAAAGCGAGATCGAGAAAAATTAGGCGTTCTCAATATCTGCAAGACATTCTCGCATACAGGCTTTCTTTAAAATCTCAACAGAAGCACAAGAAGCATCTCTGATCCCATATAATATATTTATTCATGCCTGCTTGACTGAGTGATCGTCGATCACAGAGACTATAAAAGCTATAGATTTGCAATTTGAAATATATATTCTCATATACCATATGCGGAAGGAGTATTATAAATTTTTAGTCGATCTCACAATATCGATAAAAATCGATTAAGAGACATCCGCCTGAATATCTTTGTTATTCCCCTCGAAATTGACAAGAAAAAAAACTCATGGTAAAAGAACCTTGCGATTTGGTATATACACTCACACAAACAAGGATCGGACTGTTAATACCGAAGTAAATCATGACTGCTTTGGTCTATATGTGTGCTTTGTTGTCATAGGTATTTTGATATGCTGCGCTGAGCAATTTTCACTAATCTTTAAAATACCAGTTATTTACCAGTTTAGGACTGGTAATGCGTTTTGCTTTTTGTACCCTGAACCTATTAAAAAGGGTAAAAGGAGTATAATGTATTTGTGGAAATGTATGTTACAGGCAGAAGGAAGCATCTCCGACCCATAAAGTATATATATTCTTGATTAGCATCAATAGCCGAGTCAATCTAGACATATCCGTCTTGTCCGTATGTATGATCGCAAGGATCTCAGAACCTTTAAGAGCTAGTGAGGTGAAATTTGGAATGTAGGTCCTCCTAATGCCCGCAAACAATATATTAAATATATATCGAAAACCAGTTTTTTAAGCAATCTCGTAAGTTATACGAGCTAGAGTCACCAAACTTGACATGTAGCTTCTTGAATAGGATATATATATATATCAAGTATCTTCAACTTTATAGCTATTATTTCGGTTGGTAGAAGTGGGTTGAGGGTATTCCCTAGTCGGAAATTCCCGACAAGAGCCTCTGACGTGTTCTTGTTGTACCTAGGCTTAGCAATAGGCGTGTAAATTATTTTTTGAAGTCCTTATGCATTTTTTTCTGCAGTGAGACAAACGCGTGTGTAGTTTTATTGCGGCATAAGTATCCGGATATTTGAGTCAAAGTTCGGTTTAAGTCAAAGTTCGGTGCGTTCCTGTCGCTGATTTTGATTACTCTATTTTTTAGGTTTCTGGAAAAAACTTCTGAATTAAGTGAAATGACTAGTACAGAAATCGTAAGAGAACAGAGCTTTGGTGTTTCCGTTATCAGCATCGCTGAGGAAAATTATTTTCCGCGCCAAACGATTAAGTATTAAATTGATATATGAATATATATATATATAAACCAATCTGATCCAGAGCCGTAAGGTCGAGCTAGTGCTATAAAGTATTTAAAATATTAACTCACTGTTCAAACCCAAAGGGGAAGATTTTAAGTGAAATAGTATGTATTATTTATATTATTATAAATTTCCTTAAAATAGATGAGCGTATTTTTAAATACTCATCCATAAAATGGTATTGCCTGTGTAAATAAAAAAAAAACCGTAAAAAATACACCTGCATGTCAGAAAGTTAGCCTTGGTGTCTCAATAACTAAGGCTTTTAAATGATTTTGCATTTCCCTCTGGCAATTGATTGATCAGAGGACAGTTGTTCTTCAAAAAAATTAGAAACCAACCTTCCTTACGGATGTCTTGGGGTAAAGTGTCTGTATAGATTGCCCAAAATGAAAACTATCCCAAAGACTTTATCCAGACCTTGGTAGATTGCAATCCAATCCGGCTCCAGCAAGCCTTGCTAAAGGCAGCCTGGGGCTCAACTAAGGGTATCTCCTACCTCGTGTATTCTCGTGTGGAGCACATTTACTTCTTTTTCTAAGTATTACGTTGATTATAAAACTATGAAATATCAGATGCACATTTTACACTTGTTTAAGCTTGAAAATAATTTATGACAGCAATTGCAAATTTTTTTTTTGATTTCAATTTGAAATTGGAACACCCCTTGTTGATTGGTCTGGCGACGCCTACACGAGTGTTAAATGCATTAACCCGTTAATTTATTTATAAAATTCAATGTTCACGCGGCTAAACGCCGGAGCCCAACACAAATCGTTCTCAATGCAAAGTAGCTTCAACAACAATAAAACCAACAATGATAATAACAACAACTTGGAGCAGGCAGCCGCGTTTTTTTTTATTTATGTATTTTGTAGGTCAGGGTTGTCGCGTGTAATGCAAAACGTGCCAGCAAATTGAATGAATCAAGCGGGCTCTGCTTGCCTGCTTGCAACCACAACCACAACAACAAGAACAAATACGACAGTTACAACAACAAACAAGGCAACAGACTGGTCTAATAAGCCACATCACTGCATAAATTATAAACAATAATAAAAACATAAACTGCGACGCGAATTGTATGCGTTTTTAAAAGCTTAAGGGTTCGATGCCTTGCACTTGGCACAAACTCGTAATTTATTTAAACAATAGATGAAAACGGAAAACATACACAGCGCAATAAAGTCTTAATAAATTGTTGGCACGCGATGCAACAGCTGCAGTCATAGCCGGGTCTGCAATTGTCGAAGGTTGTTATCGGAAAATGGGTATATTTGTTTTGTTTAATTAAAACCTCCGGGGTTAGAGATATCAAACTTAAAATACTTGATTTTTTATTCTCAAATATTTTCAATGCGTTTTGTTTCATACAATCGTTTTCCATCAATTTTCCGTATTTGCGGGTGGAATTTCCGTACTTGCTGAAAAAAGTGTTTAGTAAATTTGAATGAAGCTCTTTGAAAATCGTTTGGTACAAACTTGCAACCTTTGACCCTAATTTTTACCTAGGCTGGTTTGCTTTTGCGAAATTGTATACATTGAATCCTATTTACCACCAAGTAGTGGTGGATTTTTCGAAAAGAGTGAAACACGTCTTTAACACATTTGAGCAAATATTTCTACAAACTCAGCTTTCCGATTCTTACGATCGGGATAGATATTTGCATATATATAGACATATATATATATCCTAGTATTTGAACACTTTTACTATTCATTGGCAGATTACTGATTTATTTATAGTTTATGTTTGCTATTTGCTGTTGTAAGGCCACCTTTTTTATTTGTCAAAGCGTGACTAAAGCTCATTAAATGTGATATAAATGCTGAATCGATTTTCCACGCTATTAGACGCTTATTAAGATTGTCTATTAGCAGTCCATGGTTTACATTCAACTTGCTACTCATAAACACAATTTTGGCCACAATTTTATCTGATTTGAATACATATTCATATTTAAATAATGTATACATATTTTTTCTTGTTGGGATTCAAGGGCGTTCGACAAATCGGTTTTTGACTTTTCCTGATAAGCGTGTTTATCGATTGAAAGATAAATAAATTACCAAACAAAAATAAATAAAGCGAGAACAACTCAATTATATGTATACTTTATCATTAGCTGACATTATTCTGGTATTCTGGTATATGAAATCGTGATAAACCTACTTATCATAGTAGAGCTAAGCATTTAATATTGCCTTATTACGTTAAAAAATGAATTTAGTTATTTGCGTTGAATATCTATAAAGAGACAAATCCTTCTACTATCTGAATCAGCCGTTAAAACGCGTTTGTTGATTTGGTTGTAAATAATAGTTTTTTTTTTGCACTTACTTGAAATGTTTCTCGCCCATGCGTATTAATAATTAAATGATGTACATTTAAACTATTTCTTTTTCCTGACTTTCATGTTATTTATCTTTCTTAAAGGAGTTTAGCGGTTTTATTATTTATTATTATTATTATAGTCAGCACCATTTGTGAAATGGTTCCAAGAATATCTTAAGGTAGTTGCTTACTTGATTCAATCCTCAGATTGTGTTTTAGTTGACCGTGGTTTTCTTTTGATTATGAGAATTATGGCTTAGTCATCAGAAAGATTACGGACAATTAATTAAGTGGCTACAATCACAAGCTTGAAGAAGGTCTATGATTTCATCACAGTTACTGATAACAAATCGTAAATGTGCCTACCAAATAAAGTAAAAACGAGTACTATAACAGAGTAGCCAGATTTACACATACAAACGAGGTTAGTTTAATACATGTTAGCGTTTTAGTTATGATTATTTTATTCTTTGAAGTGTAAAAGTTGATGCTTAATTTAAAATACAAGTTTGAGTTTAACATTGACTTTATGTTCGCCTTGCTTGTAGTTCATACGTTCATACGTACCGGTGGTCAGGAAGAAGGATGAAACTAAAAAAACATAATATTATAACACTTTTTCATACTCAGTATTTGGCTTATCAACTCAAGTTGTTTTGCGTTTTGTTCGAGAGCGCAGTATGAAACACAAGGCGACTCTCTCGGGCTCTCTTTTGTTTTTGCACTCTTGATTAATGCGCTTTCGCGCCTTGAGTTTATCATTAAGATGTTGTTTTTGTAAGGGTTGTTAAATAATTTACTAATTTACTAAACACGAGGAAAAACTACAACTAAGCAGACGGTACTGAGTTAAATGTTAACGGAGCATTAGTATAAAACCGGTTCACGAGCAATTAGTTTCGACAACTAGTTGCGGAACTGGAACAGCTAATGCTTTTAAGTGATTGGCACTTTTCCTGGGTGCACAGAAAAATGTGTCACAGAGTAAAGCATAAGTACAGATATTGCCCTTGCTTTCCTTTTCTTTGTCACCTCCCATCGCATTCTTTTTAGTTGTCTGCTGACTTGTAAATCCTTGTTGCTGTGCTTTTAGGTGCAATTGCTTTGATTTCATGTCTGAAAAGTTTTCTCATTTGAAAAGCGCGCTCGAAAAATCATAGGAATCTCTGCGGCTGCTATCTGCATGTATGTTTGTGTGTGCGCGTACGCACGTGTACGTGCGTATGTGTGTGTCCATTAAAAGTTTACACTTTTTGGGGGTTAATCGCTGGCATCAAAGTGGTTGCTTTGTTCGGCTGACTGTTCGCTGGCTGGATTGTGGGCGATGTGTATCTATCTATTAAAAAATCGAGGAGAATCGAGCGAATCGCGTCCCGGAATGGGCAAAGACGATGCCCGCTGACGCTGACGCCGACACCGACGCCGACGACAACGACCCGCGACGATGACGACGACATCAAATATTTTGAGCGCAACATGCGCTCTTTCAGGAAATTGTTTTTGTTGGAGCAGCAGCAGCACCGGTAACAGCGTGACGGCAAAATTAACGCCAATAACAAAAGCGAGCGCGAGAGTTGCTTTTGGGTGCAACTGTGTTTCGTTTCTGCTCTTTCTTTCATAGCCCGTTGCAAATGTCGCTCAAAAGTAGGCAGCACATTGGAATACACATATTTCGCAATGAAACGAAGCACAAGAACAAAACCAATCCAAAATAAAAAGAATGGGACATAGAACAGGTCAGCAATTGTGGCAGACAACTATTAACCACATAGGCATTGCCATATTTCATGAGAATAAACAATCTGGTAACCTGCAAATCTTTTTAATCAGTCGCTGCATATATATTCATAGCACTTGGCTTTGTGTGCGTATATCTATGTCGTATGTATTTACTTGCAAATTCTATTCTCAGTTGGCAGCCCCATTTCGAGTAATTTCCGATGCCTGCACATCTCACAAAGATGTTTTGTGAAGCACCAGTTGGGCATAAATTATATTTGCCTAACCTACACCCCCATCACCACCCCCACCCCCACCAACACCTAACCCTGCCCACTCAACACCAATATGGCGTCAACGGATGTGGTTTTCGATGCTGTGTGGCTGTGTGTGTTTGTAGGTGTGTATATGTGTGTAAGTCTGAAGCACACGTTCATTAAATCGATTTTGGTAACAGTTGTGTTGCCGCTTTCATTAAGGGTTATTCCGGCTTGATCTGAGCAATGGCAGTGGCACAACAATGAGCCGTAGAACCCAAACTAAACGCTGTTCTCTGTTCGGGCACATGACGAACGCATGTCCTGCCATCGGGCCGCCATCGTGCGTTTTCAGCCTCCATTTGTTTTGCTGCTCTCAGGAGAGTTTGTCGTCGGGAGTTTTTGATTTTCGACATGTCGCCGCCGCTTCCTTCTCTCCCTGTTTAATTCTACTTGATGCTTGAATTCAACCCTTTTTTCGTTGTGTGCACACACACACACACACACACACACACAAACACGTAAAGTTTTGCATATTTATTATAGATAATTTGTGTACAGGTTTTGTGCTGGCGCGCAAACTCTCAACAACGTCCTGTAAGCATCCTGTCCCTGTCCCATTCCCCAACCGTTATCCGTCCTTGTCTGCTGTTGCATATTCCGCATATGCTGTTTGTTCTTTTTGAGGCGATGCGGCGCTCTCTAATTAATTTCAGGCTTGTGCAAATGTGAAAATTGTATAAAGCCAAAAAATAATGATACGGGTTGATAATTAGCATTTTTGATGTCTGGCAACGCTGTACCAAAACTCGAAGCTCTTGTGTGTTTGTGTGCATTAGGTAATTGAGATTAATGTTATTTGGCATATTTAAAATATTTCATGTGTGTTGTACTTTATTGGTCTTCTACAAAAAGGTGGATCCTAATGTACATCTATGGCCATATAAATGGCATAAATAACCTTTACAGAAACATTTTTGATATTTTCTTAAAAGTTAATAAAACGCGAAACAAAATAACATAATAATATAATAATTGACAAGATGGTTCAGCAAATTTTTTGGCCATATAAACAGAACTTTTTAGAAATGCGATTTTAATATATATAATATAATACTGTGTAATAAATACAGAATTTAAGATAACGTCTTCACATTTACGACTCATAATCTCCACAAGCTTTTGCAACCTTTCTTCGAATTAGAGCTTTGATCTCTGACTCCACAGGTCATCTAAATTAAAGACTTTTCTGCTTACACATTTGACGTAAACACCCTTTCAAAGACTTTGAAAT